AGGGGTGCATAATTAGTACCCATTGGAATACCGACTGTTTGTTGAAATATAAATCCTCCAAACTCAACAAATATATTATCGATCAAAGAGTCCAGCATTTTGATAATATCATCTTCAGTATTTTTCTGGTAGATTCAGTGTGGTTCTTCACAAAATATGAATTATTGTAACCCAAAACAAGAAATTTGTATCTGCGATTCCCATTTTTATAGAAAAAGCTCTGTTTAATGAGATGGTGAAGTCGATCTTTCAACTGAGCATGGGGAATAGTTTTGTAAAGCGTAGAAAAATCAAAAGTCTTAATGTTGCTGCAAAATTGCAAAGATTGTGATCGAAGATTTAGCAGTAGATCTTTCGAATTTTTGAGAATCCACATCTGGTTAACCCAACTGGTAGAATATATCTCATCACAATTTTTTTGAAGCCCATCTTTAACTGTAGAAAGAATAGTAGTCAGTACTTAAGAAAGATGTTTAGTCGAACATTTTGATGACCCAGCTATGTATCGTTCTTTATATGGAGTTTTATGAAGTTTTAGTATCCAGTATAATGATGGTAAATTTTCTTCGTTTTCTTTGATGTTGATAGCAAAAGAAAGAAGGACAGATTTGTGATTTTGTAAAATTTTGTCCTTGGTAAATGATGTTAAAGAATATGTAGGATAACTAGTAGTTCTATTTATTCCAAGCTCTGTTGTGAGACATTGCAAATAATGGTTTTTACATATGAAGACAGTATTATTGGAGGCTTTATCTGCTAGAACAACGACAAATTTGTCATGCAATCTGATTTTTATACAAAGCGAATGAAAGAAAAAAGGATGAAAACAAGTAGAAATGTAATTTTTGTAAAACAGAGGAGGAATATTATTTACATTTCTTTATAACATGTTCATTTTTAAAAGATTTTTGTGCGAAAGTGCAACGTCTTCTAACTGAACTCAATTTTAAAACTGAGATATCAGTAAAACATATAGTATTTGGATACAAAATATCAGATCAAGGATATTATGGTTTTACCTTTTTATGACAGTTTTAGATTTTTGCATTAACAAGTAATACTATTATTCAAAAGTTGAAATTCTTAGATGTGTATGAATTGTTTATAAAGGAATTACGAAGGGTTATGAATAAAAGCAAAACGATCTCTCGAAAAGTCTTTTTCATAGATTTAAAGTGACTAATATAATAATTTAATACCTATATTTAGTCATAGTTAGTTCAATGTTTTTTAATTATATTCTGAGTATTTCCCGGGACACTCAGAAAGTATTTCTCAGGAATACTTCACTGACGCATGAACAGTAAAGTATAATTGTAACGTGCAATCTGAAGAATAAAGAATATAATTTTGTTGTAAAAAAAACCAGGTAGAAATAGTGCGACAATGTACCAGTTTACATGTTTACCGTTACGGTAATTGACCCGAACTTTTGTCAGCCAATCCCCTTACTACATTTGTCGTCATCGTCTGTAACTATCTTATCTGTAAAGAAATAACTGTGGTAAATTGAACCAAATGAGATGGTATGATAAGAGCTCCCTAATTTTCAAAACAGATATTTTCTTCAAGCATTCATTATGTGCCTGTCCAAAGTCCGGAGCCTGTAGTTCAGTAGTTGTCGTCATATGTGTTTTTCGTAAATTGTTTTGTTATAAGTTAGGCCGTTAGTTTTCTCATTTGAATTGTTTCACCTATTTCATGTCCGTACGTTTTATAGACGACTTTACGATATGGCTTTCTTATTGTTGAAGGGTGTACAGTAGCATATACTTGCTTATATCCGCTTCATTTGAACTCTGGTGGATAGTTATTTCATTGGCAATCATGCCACATCTCCTTTTTTATATTTATAAATTTATGTTAAATTTATGGACAAGCAAAACTTTCGGGGGGGAAAGTTTTTATATTGTGGTTCACCGCTTTTCAAACTGTGGTGTTTGTTCCCATAAACAAATGTAGTCACTGTCATATAGGATAATTTAATCACCAAATTCTGAATATAATGACTATATCGAATTCCACTGTTTTAGATATAAAAAGAACAAAACAGAATTAATAAAAATGAAATTGTAGTATCACCCTTAATTTTGTATATTGCCTTTCCACCAAGGTTTTACTTGGTAAAAGATATATTGCCATCCCTGTGCAAATCCTGTACGACAGTACACTCTAGCTAAAGTGGGACATCCGTTTGGTTGTGGTGGGTGTATAAATACGTCGCTCCGTTCGTTTACGTTAAAACACCCTTACAACATCTCTATGAGGGGTCCGTATTCGACCATATGAGAAATTACAAGACAAAATTTCTATCCCTTACCGTCATGACATCAATTTCCAGTTGCAGTCAAAGTAACCCGTCCATCCTCCCGGTTCACCTACTAATTGTAATCGGTAATTGACACATTATTCTTGTCCTGGATATGCATGAATACCACTTAATGTAAGCAACAACAAACAATAAACCAATGCAAAAAGATTGTCAACAAAGGAAACGATAACGTACCAAGATGGAAGTATTAAACCTCACTCTTGTTACAGATATGTAAATATAAGTTAATAAACGATAATAAAAAACTATGAAAATTAATGTATACAATAAAATGATGCTTTACAAGATGAATTAGTTAAAAACGAGAAAAAACTCGTTTTGAATAGTGATTAATAGTTGTCTGATTGACAATCATACCAAATCTTCTTATTTGCTCAACTGATCTTATATATCACCATTATTATTGTTCTACACAATGTTTAATATTTGGTTTATCGTTTAAAGATGTGTCAAAATAAGAAAAGTCTTTTCAACTCAACTTCTGGTGATACACAAACGCACTTTTACTTGCAAAAAACTGCACTCATTGAAAAAGTTTAAAAAAATTAAAATATATAACTTTTGTTCAACAAACTAAACACAGAGAAGGGTACTGAGAAACGTAAGATTACATTTACAAGGCGGTACATAGAAAGATAGCCGTGAGTAGGCAGCTTACCGGAGAATAGAGGGGGAATGTCAGCCCAATTTCTAGGATATTATACAATTATTTTACATACAAACGGGTGATGTGGGATAGTAGGAGATGTTAATCTTGTCGACATACCCGGTCAAGTCAACCGGTCAGATTGAGCCTAAAATGTTGCAAAATTTCCGCTGACACCTTTTATATAATCAATTTAATGATAAATAATCCTTAATTTGTCGTAGTTTTTGTTATTGCGGGTTGCTCGATTATTTGTCTTATCTTAAAAACTTAATTGAAACAAAATCATTTATTCTTAGTATATCGTATACCTCAAAACAAAAATCTCCTTTCCTATATTTATCCAACGGAAAACAAAAAAGACATCGTGTGTTTGTTCATAATTAAAATGCAATTAAATGCACTGCCTCACATTTTCTGTAAATGATCACATGCAATTAAATGAATTTGTTATACGCATATAGTACCATTTCTAAAAGTAAATTAAAAGAACAGACAAACACAGCTCAAAACATTACACAAAAAACTAAATTTTGACCAAGTCCAAATCTACCAAAATATCCATAAAGCACTTCACAGAATATAAAAGTTTGCGTAACACAAGTTTCACAAAAAAAATTAGGGGATCGACTCATGATTACTTACTCCTAAAGGGCAGCAGTACCAGCTCTCCTGCCGATACCCATCATAATGCTCATATCAAGTGATTATATTCAGTGAGATTTATACCAAAGAATATAAGTTATAATGTCCCCTATCTTACCATAAGATATTGATAATTTCAGCGTTATCAGAATATGTAAATCAACGACGGAATTTGAAACTTTGAAATAAAAATACGATATGTTTTCAGGATATATGCAAGACAAAACTATGACAATTTGACAGCCTACACTGACAAATATAATACCACAACAACAAAAATTGAAACTATACACTATAGTCAGCAATAATACTAAAATATTACTGATAAACGAAAATTAAAAGAAGATTAGGGTGAATGCAATACCGGAAGGGTAAGCAGTTCTTTCTCCATTTGTCTAGTGGAATCCCTTGTATAGCTCTTGACAATTTAATATCTGGCGATACATTACTGTTAAATTTTGAGGAAAAAGATTTGGCTTCGGCAAAGGGAACATATCAGTGGTCAACTCAGTGATACCCATATTCCATAATGATCAACAAAATCATGGTAGGTAATATCCGTAAAACTTTCGATCCGTTTAGGTGTAAGACCACCAATTCACCCACTTCAATTTAGAACAGTAGCCCTACCCTGACAAAGAATATAGTGCTTTTGATGTCACTGTTTACTTAAACTTACAAACATATTTGCAGAAATGAAACTTTCGGTGAAAGAGAAATATATTTAGACCATTTTTAGCCAAAATTTACTTGTCTTTGAGTTTGTATTAAAGATTGAGGATTAATGCGCTCCATAGTATACTTATTTAAAATTTCAAGAAAACCCTGGGATATAATTAGTAGAATTTGGCTTCCGAACGGTAAGGTTTCATTACAACACTTTAAACATTGGTTGAAAATTGGCATGTAGAAAGGTTAAACATGTACAACTCAGGATTTACCCGGTTTCTATGAAGTTAAGCTTAAGGTCAAATATTTAGAAAGCTGTGAAAATTGCTAAATTTGGTTGAATAGATAGGGATTTTGAATTGGTTGTCTGCCATCTTTAGAACTCATACGATTCCCTCAGTTTTTGTTTCTTTTACCTTGATTTGTATCTGTTCGTGTTGCTCAGTCTTTGGTTTTCTACGTTGTTTTGTGTACTGTTGTTTGTCTGTTTGTCTTTTTCTTTTTTTGCCATGGCGTTGTCAGTTTGTAATCGATTTATGAGTTTGAATGTCTCTTTGGTATCTTTCGCCTCTCTTTTTCTATATGAATTTATGATTTTGAATTCGGCAAAAAAAGATGTATCTTATAACAATGTGCAAATGGTACTTCCTTATAGGATTTGTACAATGTCATTTCAAACGGTTCTTTCTAAGAAAAAAAGTAATCATATAAAACAATCAATGACAACTTTATTGAACAAAAATTTCTTACAAAATTTAAGTAATGAGTTTTACAATTAAATGTTATTTCATATATAAGAAGGACATTTCTATCCAAGATCAAACATTTTATTGACAGTAAAGCTACAGATTCATTCATTTTAGTTAAAGATGTCCGTCGATGCAAAATTTTACAAAAATTAGTAAAATTTTCAATATCGTTTTGACATGTCTTCAATAGCTAGGTGTATAACTCTCAAAATTTATGGATATATATAAAATTGTTTATAAATTTATAAAGTATATTATTAAGACTCTTTGATATTCAAAATCTATTGATTTTGACCATGTGAGTGAAACATGCCATACAACTTTCATAATAAATGTAAATACAAATTATATATTTGTTAAAGTTGCTACTAACATATCATTATGTTTACATACATATAAGAATAAGTACTAAGGTACATTTAACCTTATACAAACAATATGGTTTTATAAATTATTGAAAATAATGAACCGATAGCAAAGAGCTACCTTATGATAATTAGAAAAAAACATCAAATTAAAAAAGAAACAACCATCGAGTAGATACTTTTATTACAATTAAATGTAAAAAGTGAAATATGGGTTATTTCAGGTGAAAATATAAAAAACGTTTTTGTCTAGCCTTGTCTTTGATTTGGTCTATTTGTCCAAGGGGTTGTTTTTAACATAATGAAGACAATGAGATGTGTAATCTTTATATAATAAAATTATATTTATACAGGGTACGTTTACACATATGGTCTTTTTTTTTTATTATTTGCAAGTTATATTCAGTTCCTGTTACTGCTTTCAATTAAGCTAACACTTATTTATCTTATCAAAGTAAAAATCTATAAAGATGAAAAAAGTCGTGATTTTTAACGCCATTTGGTCAACCAGTGGACAATTGAGATATGAAATAATACAATATTATACTTCTAATATAGAGTAATAAAGAATATCATTGATCAACATTGAATGCAGTGGACTACATGATTTTTTTAAGATTTCATTTAATGATTGTTCAGAACAAGAAATCATTGCATCAAACATTCTAGGTACATAAATAACTTATATATTTGATTCTCAGGTATACCACAAATATTTCATGGTTACAAGGGCTGATGAAATGTATTCTGACAGCAGCCTTTGGGTTCAACTTTCCCTTCTTGTCCACAGCATTGCCATATCTTAATCTTAGGGTCCTTATTTTCGTGGAGATGCACAGGCTTCCGTGGATGATAATAACACGTTCCAGTATTTTGACCTGGAACCAGTGCGTTGTGACAATACCGGCATTCTTGCAGGCGTTTCCGTTTAAATCGTTTATTATCAATTAGTTCATCTTGGCCTTTTGGGTATACGGCTCCATCATCTGCCAGGATTGATAGTTTCTTTTTCAACTTTTCGTTGTCGCCATTGGCTTTTGCAAGTGCTGTATCTTTCATGTCGTGTAGTTGCTCCAGAAATTTCTGTTTAATTTTTTCCGTATGCAACTACAAAATAATAATAAACTTATCATCTTTATTTAGCTGAATGCCTTGAGATATTTCTTAAAATTGACAATATAAATAGATAACTGTCATTGAATTTCAGTACCTTGACATTTCATTTTTCATAACATTTCTATAATATATTCCTACATAATTTTTTTAGAGAAAAGAAGCTGTTAATTTTGAAACTAAAAAAAGACCACACAACGAGATAATCTATATGTTCCACATAACCTATTTCCAAGATTTTTAGTATTTTTCTGACCGCAGTCAAAGAAGGTCTTTAGATTCTTAAGAGGTGAGATCAAACATTTATACTAAAGGAATGAGTTTTTGGAATTTTCTGGAAAACGTGTGGCCCAAATGGAAAGAGATCTAACTATATAATAAGTTAGATATGCGTACAAATTGTTCTCGCATTTGTAACCTCCTCTCACAAGCATAAAATCATTTGCGTTTATTTGAGAATTCCTTTTGCATAAACTTTTGAATGCAGTATTCTCCAAACAAGAAAATATTCTTGAATTCTGTAACGTCACACATACTAGTATTCTTTCTAATGTCATTCTTCTTGGTCTCTCCAACCACTATGAGATAACCTTCATAGGGACCTTTTGATACGGGATATTTCAAGGATTTGTATTTCATCGTTTAACAATATTGTCTTTTGAGAACACTTACAAAAAAATATTACATATACTGATGTAAAATCACCGACGTAGTCACTGCAAAGTTCAGGACCAATACAAACAGTAACTAAAGGTTTGGAACACTACCCTAAATTTTAAGCTTGTCTAAAACACTATCGTCAAACTCGGACAAGAGATTATAGCTATTCAGGAACTAGATACCTTCCTTATTTTTTTAGCTCTGCATTTAAAACTTTCACTAAACAATAATAAACTGAAAATGTGTTTGTAAAAAGAAAGATAACACAAACGTTTCATTACAGTCTACAACAGAACCCACTTTTTTATTGCGTTAGTACCGTCCTATTTATCAGTAAGTAAAGTAACTTCTTAAGAAGTATATAATATATCTAGTAAACAGTAATGACACTATGTCTCATTTGGACCAAGATATCATATATAACTGAAATCTAATATGATTTGAAAACTGAGTTGTTTTTTTTTTGGGGGGGGGGGGGGGGGCAGAAATCAGAATATAAAAGTTGAAAAGCAGAATTTTCTGTTCAATGTGTTCGTTTGAGCGATATATGGCGTCCTTTGGCATTCTTTTATGGACTGTTGTCTTTTTGTCGTGGGGTTGTCTGTTTTTCTTCATCTTTGGGGGGGGGGGGGGGGGTTTGTAGTCTTATTGTCACCTTGGTATCTTCCCTATTTTCTGCTTTCAAACAAGTTGTATTCACTTTGTGAGTTACTTTATTATAAACTCAATGAACTTTGATATTTGATACAAAAAATCAACGATAAAGGTGATTATTGCATACTCTCTTGCTCAATAAATTAAAAATATAATACTGACGCTGTAATTGACGCATGAAAACATCAGGATGTAAAAATAAAAGGTTTATAACATATATTATGAACTTTTTATATATATTTTTTTTGCATTGATATAAAACTATTGAGAAATTCAATATTTATTGTTTTTTCTTCTACCGTTCAAATTTTGGAATATTTACATTTTAGAAAACTAATTACCTCTTCTTTGTATTCCTGGAGTTCTTCTCTGCATTCTAGCAATATTTTGCTTAGTGTGCTGATATCCTGCTCCAACTGGTATCTCTTGTTGGTCATATCGTTTATTTTTCCCTCCAGATCTTTTAAGTTCTTCATTTCCAGTTCCAGCTTTTTATTTCTCAATTTCTTAATAAAAAATTTAATAAAAACACATGTAACGTTCAATTTTGAGATATTTCATAAATATCATGTCACTTTATTTCATGAATGAAATTTAGAGTTTTAACGAATGGACAAAATTAACATTCTGTTTAATCTATTCCTTTTTCTTTACTGTTTTTCTGTCTTCGTTTCTTCACTATTACATTACACTGCCTAAAGAGTTCCTTGTACAAAAACGATTTTTTTTTTCTAATTTGGCGTACAACAGTTTACTACAGTTATATGACGTGGGGTTTCTAAAATAATTTTGAAGTAGAAATTACCTCTTCGTTTAATCTTTTAATTACGTTTTGTGTATTATTCATCTGTTTTTCCAGATCAGATTGAACTTCCCTCGTTCGTTGTTCATTTCTATCTAACTGTTCTTTTAGATCTAAGGAAAAATACAAATTAATGAAACCGTGATACAATCATGTAGATATGTTCTGTTGCTTGATGTATTTTGATCACCTCCCTTAGACCATTATGCAAATAAGCCTGAAAACGGATTGCTCCTGTGGCGATGAGATGATAGATGACGAACGAATGTGTCTTGAAGAATAAAGTAAAATTCAAAAACAGGGGAACTTTTTTTTTAAACAGATCGATTTATATTTATTTAGATGTACAGAAAATAACACTAAAAGAAACCACATATATATCTGAAAAAATTTCCCCAATAATAACTTGAATACTTTCTTTGTCCTCAGTCCGTCAAGTGCACGTGTCATCATGAAGACTAAATTGAGTTATCACATCGTTAACCATAAAGTAATTTTTTTTACAATTTCAGTTTATAAAATTCTCAGCTTCAGGTTTCACATATAACACCCCGAAAAGAAATAATTAAGCCCGACAAAACTTGTTAACATATCAGTTGTCTGATATGTTAACAAATCAGACAACTGATATGTTAACAAATCAGTTGTCTGGATTTCGTAGGAATATTACTTTTCAGTACTGGTATAGAAATGTACCTTCATGCTCAGACTGTAACAGTTGTAGTTCATTCAGTTTACTCAGTAAGTTCTTTTCCAACTGTTCTTTTTCAAAACAGATAGTTTCCCAGGCCCAGTCTCTTTCACCAATTGTATTACCCAACTGAATGTTGTAAATAATCTCTTCTGAATCAACTCGCTGAACTGGAAGTCCAACAGGATCTCTAATAAAATCACTCATTCTACAAAATAGTTTGGCCATTCTTCCATAATTAATTAACAATGTGAAACGTTAAAACATCTACTGTTGGTTTGTGTCAATCTCAATAACTTTGTCAATACAAACGATAAGTCCAATGAAATCAGAGATAAAATTACGTCCCTGGGCAAATAGTCATTCTGTAATTTTTATTATACGTACATTTGTAATACAAAAATATAGATAAAACATGACGAATAAAAATTTAACATTTGGCAATTTGTTACGAAAATATTTTCTGCAAATAAATTTGTTGTTCCTTTCAAGATAAAAGAGTGTTATGTCTCGATGTATGGCACTTTTTCGTTCTTTCAACAAAATCAGAGAGCTATTTCAGGAATTGTGTTTTTTTATTATTATTAAAGAAATATCGGAAAATTTCTTTTGAAAACGAACACACGACTAAGCGTGTGCTGCATACACTCAATTAAACACATGGTATACGTTGGTATAATCTAGTTATATCAATATGACAGAATCAATAAGTTACAATTGACATTTTTCACCAAGAATGGTCACTTCATAAAATTTAAGAAAAAAAGAAATATATACATCACCGTTTATCTTGAAAAAAATTGTTAATACAAATGTGTAAGTGACGCTGTTGATGGGCAGTTTGGTCTCGAAAAAACTAGCATACGCTAATATTGCAAACACTGTATGAGTGACATTGTTGATTGCCAGTATCGATGGAACAACTAAAACTAGTATCATACTCTTATAATTACTTGCACTGTATCAATGACGCTGTGGATAGACTGGAAGTCAAGAGTGAATTCCTAAAATCTTAATCATAGTACGCTTACATAATCACCACTGCGTAAATGACTGGGCTTATTGACTGTCAGTCTGAAGGGAGTTACTAAAATCGGTATCATACGCTTATATTACTACCACTATGTCAGTGACGCTGCGGTTGGACTGCTAATCCGAAGCGAATTGCTATGATCGGCACCATACGCTTATATTACTACAACTGTGTCGATGATGCTGATGATATATGTCAGTCAAGAGGTAGTTACTAAAATCGGTATCATGTGCTTATATTACTACCACTATGTCAGTCACACTGCGGATATATGCCAGTCAAGAGGGAGTTACTAAAATCGGTATCATGTGCTTATATTACTACCACTATGTCAGTCACACTGCAGATATATGCCAGTCAAGAGGGGGTTACTGAAATCGGTATCATGCGCTTATATTACTACCATAGTGTTGGTGATGCTGGTGATACATGCCAGTCAAGAGGTAGTGACTTAAATCGGTATCATACGCTTATATTACTACCTCTATGTCAGTCACATATCGGATATATGCCAGTCAAGAGGTAGTTACTTAAATCGTCATCATACGCTTATATTACTACCACTATGTCAATCACACTGTGGATACATGTCAGTCAAGAGGGAGTTACTAAAATTGGTATCATGTGCTTATATTACTACCACTATGTCAGTGACGCTGCGGTTGGACTGCTAATCTGAAGCGAATTGCTATGATCGGCACCATACGCTTATATTACTACAACTGTGTCGATGATGCTGATGATATATGTCATTCAAGAGGTAGTTACTAAAATCGTTAGTATGTGCTTATATTACTACCGCTATGTCAGTCACACTGCGGATATATTCTAGTCAAGAGGGATTTACTAAAATCGGTATCATGTGCTTATATTACTTCCACTTAATCAGTCACACTGCGGATATATTCCAGTCAAGAGGGGGATACTAAAATCGGTATCATGTGCTTATATTGCTACCACTATGTCAGTCACACTGCGGATATATGCCAGTCAAGAGGGAGTTACTAAAATCGGTATCAAGTGCTTATATTACTACCACTATGTCAGTCACACTGCGGATATATGCCAGTCAAGAGGGGGTTACTGAAATCGGTATCATGCGCTTATATTACTACCATAGTGTTGGTGATGCTGATTATATATGCCAGTCAAGAGGTAGTTACTAAATTTGGTATCATGCGCTTTTATTACCAACACTATGTCAGTCACACTGCGGATATGTTCCAGTCAAGAGGTAGTTACTTAAATCGGTATCATACGCTTATATTACTACCTCTATGTCAGTCACACAGCGGACATATGCCAGTCCAGAGGTAGTTACTAAAATTGGTATCATGTGCTTATATTACTACCACTATGTCAATCACACTGCGGATATATTCCAGTTAAGAGGTAGTTAATAAAATCGGTATCATGTACTTATATTACTACTACTATGTCAGTCACACTGCGGATATATTCTAGTCAAGAGGGAGTTACTAAAATCGGTATCATGTGCTTATATTACTTCCACTAAATCAGTCACACTGCGGATATATTCCAGTCAAGAGGGGGATACTAAAATCGGTATCATGTGCTTATATTGCTACCACTATGTCAGTCACACTGCGGATATATGCCAGTCAAGAGGGAGTTACCTAAATCGGTATCATACGATTATATTATTACCGCTATGTCAGTCACACTGCGGTTATATGCCAGTCAAGAGTAAGTTACTAAAATCGGTATCATACGCTTTTATTTTTTACTACTGTGTTAATGAGGCTGCTGATGAGGAACTACACAAATCTGACTTGTCGTTTAGGTAACCACTTTAACTAGTTCAATATTTAAAAAAAATTACCAGGATAAACAAATGAAAATCACTAATCATTTTTTTATTCAGATGGTTTGGCTGACAAAAATGATTTATGCTCACCAACTTGAAATATTTAATGTTACGAAATCTTCAAACTACTTCCTCTACTGAATATCAATTAAGTCTATTTTAATCATAAAAATAAAACAAAACCTATTTGTCTTTGTATAGGTTGAAATGGCCTAGTTGAATAAGAAAACATTTACATATGTAAGTCACCATAGAAACGGTTTTCAACCCTGAACAGTCTCTAGTCTAGCAAGCTCTAGATCAACAACAGTCGGTACATTTATATGTTTATATATTCAAGAGAAAGGACAGAAACACAGGTGCAACTGAACAATCGTCAAAAAAACATCGAAAACCGAACAGGTGTCCTTACTTCGGACAAGTACATAAATGTGTCGAGTTAAATAGTTGTGTTCAAAGTCAATGAATTTAACTCATTCACATGAAATACTTTCACTCAACCAGGAAGAATGAACACAAATATATAAATTATTTACATCATTTACACTTAAAGAATATAGTTTCTCTCTATTATGATGGATAATAAAATGTGGACAACCATATATTATTCATAACATGTACTTACTTTGGCTACATAATAAACCTGGTCACATGATTAAACGTCAATATGTCATATTAACCATATTAACTACTGCGTAGTTTGATAAATAATCCGTAATTTTTAAAAATAGAAATTTATGAAAAGTTCCAGTCACCCGGAAATGTTTCTAAAAATACTGTCAATTAATCTTGAAAGTTGAAATTCATTTTCATTTTTTGCTTTTCATGTAAATTTATGATTAGTCAATTTGAATGCATTCGTTTAATTCGGATAGATTTCGCTCTTCGTTGTTTAGTACTTTACTCATATCATATTCAAAGTCAACTCAACAAATTGTTTCACGAAAACATATCCGATTAATTTATATAAAAAAATATATAGCATGCGTTTTTTGACTATGACATCCAAGGTCTTGTAATAAATAAAATCGAATTCTACCACAGTAGCTGATATTCTGAAATGGGTGGTAAAAAGAGAGGTATCTTTTATTGTTAATTTTTTGCGTTTTAAAAATTGTGAAAGATTTACCCTTTTAATCCACTTTTGATTTATTTTTAGTTTTTGTATTCCTTCATATAATCACTTTGAAACGTTATTTGTATTTTGCAAGCATTATATTATCATTTTTATTTATGAATTAAACGGAGATGAGGGGCATACACAAATGAAACAGCAACCCAACGACAAAAATAACCAAAAATCATCTCAGGATAAGACAACATACAGTCAACAATAGACATATGTGTCTATATATGCATTAAGTCATCTGAGTAGGGGACAACATACAGTCAACAAAAGACATATGTGTCTATATATGCAACAAGTCATCTGAGTATGGGACAACATACAGTCAACAATAGACATATGTGTCTATATATGCAATAAGTCATCCGAGTAGGGGACAACATACAGTTAACAATAGACATATGTGTCTATATATGCAATGAGTCATCTGAGTAGGAGACAACATACAGTCAACAATAGACATATGTGTCTATATATGCAATAAGTCATCTCAGTAGGAGACAACATACAGTCAACAATAAACATATGTGTCTATATATGCAATAAGCTTTCTGAGTAGGGGACAACATACAGTCAACAATAGACATATGTGTCTATATACGCAATAAGTCATCTGAGTAGGGGACAACATACAATCAACAATAGACATATGTGTCTATATATGCAATAAGTCATCTGAGTAGGGGACAACATACAGTCAATAATAGACATATGTGTCTATATATGCAATAAGTCATCTGAGTAGGGGACAACATACAGTCAACAATAGACATATGTGTCTATAAATGCAATAAGTCATCTGAGTAGGGGACAAAATACAGTCAATAATAGACATATGTGTCTATATATGCAATAAGTCATCTGAGTAGGGGACAACATACAGTCAACAATAGACATATGTGTCTATATATGCAATAAGTCATCTGAGTAGGGGACAACATACAGTCAACAATAGACATATGTGTCTATATATGCAATAACTCATCTCAGTAGGGGACAACATACAGTCAACAATAGACATATGTGTCTATATATGCAATAAGTCATCTGAGTAGGGGACAACATACAATCAATAATAGACATATGTGTCTATACATGCAAAAAATCATCTCAGTAGGGGACAACATACAGTCAACAATAGACATATGTGTCTATATATGCAATAAGTCATCTGAGTAGGGGACAACATACAGCCAACAATAGACATATGTTTCTATATATGCAATAAGTCATTTTAGAAGGGGACAACATACAGTCAACAATAGACATATGTGTCTATAAATGCAATAACTCATCTCAGTAGGGGACAACATACAGTCAACAATAGACATATGTGTCTATATATGCAATAAGTCATCTCAGTAGTAGACAACATACAGTCAACAATAAACATATGTGTCTATATATGCAATAAGTTTTCTGAGTAGGGGACAACATACAGTCAACAATAGACATATGTGTCTATATACGCAATAAGTCATCTGAGTAGGGGACAACATACAATCAACAATAGATATATATGTGTATATATGCAATAAGTCATCTGAGTAGGGGACAACATACAGTCAATAATAGACATATGTGTCTATATATGCAATAAGTCATCTGAGTAGGGGACAACATACAGTCAACAATAGACATATGTGTCTATAAATGCAATAAGTCATCTGAGTAGGGGACAACATACAGTCAATAATAGACATATGTGTCTATATATGCAGTAAGTCATCTGAGTAGGGGACAACATACAGTCAACAATAGACATATGTGTATATATATGCAATAAGTCATCTGAGTAGGGGACAACATACAGCCAACAATAGACATATGTTTCTACATATGCAATAAGTCATCTGAGTAGGGGACAACATACAGTCAACAATAGACATATGTGTCTATATATGCAATAACTCATCTCAGTAGGGGACAACATACAGTCAACAATAGACATATGTGTCTATATATGCAATAAGTCATCTGAGTAGGGGACAACATACAGTCAATAATAGACATATGTGTCTATATATGCAAAAAATCATCTCAGTAGGGGACAACATACAGTCAACAATAGACATATGTGTCTATATATGCAATAAGTCATCTGAGTAGGGGACAACATACAGCCAACAATAGACATATGTTTCTATATATGCAATAAGTCATCTTAGTAGAGGACAACATACAGTCAACAATAGACATATGTGTCTATATATGCAATAAGTCATCTGAGTAGGGGACAACATACAGTCAACAATAGACATAAGTGTCTATATATGCAATAAGTCATCTCAGTAGGGGACAACATACAGTCAACAATAGACATATGTGTTTATATATGCAATAAGTCATCTGAGTAGGAGACAACATACAGTCAACAATAGACTTATGTGTCAATATATGCAATAAGTCAAGCTCTGAATCGTCCCGAGTTTATAAAAATTAAGAATAAATTAAGTGTCTGTCTTTTTAAGAATCAGGCAATTTAGAAGAACTTCAATACACGGAGGAAAAACCCCACCGACCTAACCATCCTATTTTGAAGTTACCCTCATCTTGAGTTAGAAATGGAAGGTTTTTTATTTCTGCATGTCATGTGTCTATATATGCAATAAGTCATCTCAGTAGGGGACAACATACAGTCAACAATAGACATATGTGTCTATATATGCAATAAGTCATCTGAGTAGGAGACATCATACAGTCAACAATAGACTTATGTGTCAATATATGCAATAAGTCAAGCTCTGAATCGTCCCGAGTTTATAAAAATTAAGAATAAATTAAGTGTCTGTCTTTTTAAGAATCAGGCAATTTAGAAGAACTTCAATACACGGAGGAAAAACCCCACCGACCTAACCATCCTATTTTGAAGTTACCCTCATCTTGAGTTAGAAATGGAAGGTTTTTTATTTCTGCATGTCGGGTAATTCGAGAAATCTATAGATAACTTTTGGTTAGAATGATAGCAAATTACGGAGTTAGCTCTCCATGATTGTTAATTTCTAGTGCATTTCAACCAAATTTTATCTTGAAATACCAGAACAGGAAAAGGAAACGAGTGTAATATTCGAGCACCATTATACATTTCGAACTTAAATTAATGTAAACTTGAGTGGGTTTTTTTGTCATGTTTTTACTACTGTCTGATTCTTAGGCAGATTGACACTTAAACAGAAACATGTTTTCTCAATAAAAACAAAGTAAGTGATCTATTACAATGTGTATGTTTAAAAGTCCAAATTGTTATTACTCGGTACTGTTATAGCATTATTGTGAGGCACATAAACATTTCAGCTTTTCTTTGTCGCTATGGCTACTATTGATGGAAAGTCTGCTCACTGAAACAGTTGAAATTATGTGTAACCTTTGATACAAATACAAGGTTTTCTTATAGTCAATATGTTTGATTAGTAAATGCTGATGGTTTTCTTTATATTAGATGTTTATATTCACTTGTTTTGGCCAACGAAAGGCGGTATTTGTATGAACTACTATCAGATATAATCGCGTTAAAAGTCATAACAACAAATCAATTTCTAATTTTCAAGAACTTTCGGTCATGTCCTATGCAAATATCTTGCGGATTGTAATTTTATATTGAGTATACATGACGCTTAAGACAAACCGAACGAGATATGCTGTCTAACCAGAACCTAAGGCGAGCGATAAGACGTCAGGCTTGTCACAAAATCAATATAAAAACCAACTCTGCAGCAGTAAAAAATAACATTCTGCATAAGTTTATGACTATTGTATTGTTAAAATATGGTAGCAATACTGGAACAAATTTGTTCAATTAGTTTTGAATTGATCAGATATCATTTTCTCCTATATTAAAAGATAAGAATAATTTCATTACAGCTAAAACGATGTGAAGTTCAATGAATAAAATGATAGCAATCGCTTATTCAAACACACGAAATGGCAATTTTGTTCGGAATGGAAAAGCTATCTGAATAATAGTTGTACAAGATTCCAATGAATTTCATTTAAAAAGGGGAACGATTTTGAAATCAATATTTTGTATTTTTCAAGTTAAGGCATGTTAAATGAAGAGTATTAAACCAAACATTCATGCATCATCGTGTACTAAAAAATGTTCAAGAATGTGCTTTGGCTTGTATATACTAATGCTTATTAATAAAGTATTATTAAATAATAAAGGGACGTCCGGAGAAGTGAATAAGTTATTAATTTGCTTATATTAAAGAAATAATGCATTTGTAATGGGCGATGGGAAATATTTTACATTTGAGTTAAGATTTTTTTTATATGGTAAACGGGAATGTGGCCCATGTTTCATCGCCCAATACAAATGCGTTACAAGTAAGTTTGATTGCGTTAAGTGTCACGCTGGTATAAGTTATGTCGCTTTTCTGGACACTCCTATATCTAGTTATACTGCATACTTTCATACATGGAACTGCAAAATTTTGTACACTTTAAGTTGGTGAATCTATAAGGTCCCGTTAATCATAAAGTTCAACATGGTTTAGGTCTTATACCTCATTCATGATTTTTTGGCTTTCAAATTTTTGGGTTTGAGCGTACTGTATTTGAAGAGTTGCCACCATCAATTTGGGATTTGACGGTGGCAACTCTTCAAATATAGTAC